GGGCTGAGCTAACGTTGCCTTCTGTGAGTAACCTGTTTTTCTGTTAAATCATTTGTGTTCCTTTTCCACCTTTTGACCAGTATTTATAGATGCCATTCTGCACAGTTGAAAAATTCAAAAATGAGGGTTTTACTGATTTCTGCTTTAGTTTTCTGTACTGTAACGTGTAAGTGACACTTCATATTCGTTGCTCCTTGCTTTCCTGTCTGCCAATCGCCGACTGCAGCTGTATGGGAAATTTTGCAGATAATATAAGTGGAATATGTTGACGAGGGTAGTGGCTCACCTTTCACCCCGCACGTTAGCCAATTCACTCGTTACTACGTAGGTCAGAGCAGCATTCCCAATACAATATTTAGAATTCGTTGCATCACAGGTACTTGGTAAATGTTGGCAGTCCTGATTCTTGTGCTCATTCGCATTCATTCGTGACATCGACTGAGGTAATGGATTCTTGTAATGCACCACGCCACTTGTGTTCATTTTTATTTGGTGAAAGGAATAACCGGTGTGCGTTTGCTTAGTACTTGCAGCATTGTTTTCCTAGCTAATGAATGGGGAAAGGTTGTGTGACTGGTTGCAGTGCGTATGTGCGTAGTATCTTTAGTGGTTGCGAGTGGGATTTGTTGTTGGTTTTGTTGGCGTTGTTGGGATCTTTAATTCGAACTATGATGGAGCTACCGTCACCGTTGAATGAAGCACACTAGATGTTGATTGACTGTGATGAGGTAAGTTGCGTCAAAACCTTCGTAACTGTCTTTGTTGAAATATATTTCTTACCTCCAAACAATCCTTCCTCTTCTTCTTCTTGTAACTTGTTTGGTAATTTAGGCGTGGTACGACTGTATGCCGGACAATTTTGTCAGTTCCTTTGTCAGCTTACGTGATGCTGTTGGTAGAGGAAGGAGCAGCGAGTGCACAAGTGACATTTGTTTGTGCGAATCTGACTGTGTTTAGTGCTCTTCGTGTGACAGATCAAAGCGTATGCATCTGCTGTTATCAGGAGAAGGAGAAGAGGTTTCTTGGCACGATTGCCTCCAAGGGATGGGCAGCTTCATGCCGAGTGCCATGTAGACGGCACACGAATCGCC